TAAGATCATGGCATCTGGTCCCATCACTTCATAGCAAATAGATGGGGAACTAGTTAGTGGAAACAGTGGCTGACTTTATTTTTGGGGCTCCAAAATCACTGCAGATGGTAATTGCAGCCATGAAATTAAAAGACACTTACTCCTTGGAAGGAAAGTTATGACCAACCTAGATAGCATATTGAAAAGCAGAGACATTACTTTGCCAACAAAGGTCCGTCTGGTGAAGGCTATGGTTTTTCCAGCGGTCATGCATGATGTGAGAGTTGGACTGTGAAGAAAGCTGAGCGCCCAAAAATTGATGTTTTTGAACTGTGGTGTTGGAGAAGACCCTTGAGAGTCCCTTGGACTGCAAGGAGATGCAACCAGTCCATCCTAAAGGAGATCAGTCCTGGGTGTTTATTGGAAGGACTGATGCTGAAGCTGAAACTCCAGTACTTTGCCCACCTCATGCGAAGAGTTGACTCATTGGAAAAGACCCTGATGCTGGGAGGGATTGGGGGCAGCAGGAGAAGGGGATGACAGAGGATGAGATGGCTGGATGGCATCACCGACTTGATGGACATAAGTTTGCGTAAACTCCAGGAGTTGGTGATGGTCAGGGAGGTCTGGTGTGCTGCGATTCATGGGGTCGCAGAGTCAGACATGACTGAGTGACTGAACTGAACTGAACTGAAAGTTCCCAAGACATAAATACATACATACATACATACATACATATATATATATATATATATATATATATATATGAACCTGTCCTTAGTTACTGCTGGGCTTGGCTTATTGATAGTCTACTCCATGTAGAGGCTAGGCCACATGGAGCCCTGAATTTCTCAGTGTTGCAAGAAAATAATTTCTAAGATTCCTTCTAATGTTAACTATAAACAGAACCTCTGAATGGACCCTTCAAAGGTGTGTTACTTCTATAGGTTCTGTAGGTAAGATGAAAGTTATAGTGTTACATAGCACTGAACTCAGTAGGCTTATACTGAATAGAATAGTCTTGGATACACCCAGAGTCCACTGTGAGTTCTTAGGGTTGAATCTTACCTTTAGGGGTCTCAATACTTTTGTTTATAAAATGGGGAAGATATTGTTGTTGCTTTTTCTGAAGTTGTGTTTGGTATTGTTTCTCTTTTGAGATCTAACTATGTCCAGACACTGTTTCCCATCTACCCCTTAATTGAACCCTTATAGTGAATTGTATGTGATCATTTTCTTTCCAGAGACTAGACCCAAGAAACACAAGCAGCTTGCACAGGGACTCCCAGCTAAGCAGAGGCAAAGCTGGGATTCAGTGTCTTCTCTGCCTCCAAATCCAGTGCTTTTTCCTTTAGTACACATCTTCCTAGTCTGCCTGTGGAACCCAAAATGAAAATCATGAGCAAGCTTTTTTATGGGAGAATGCTTTGAAAAATATTAAACGCCACAGAAATCTGAGGGGTTTAAAATGTGTTCTTAACTACTCATCCTCTAAAGCACTCATCTGTACTTTCTGTCATCTCATCAGAATTACCCTTCTATATCTGGGTGGATGCTGTGTTGACCAATCCAGACCCCCTTCAATGAAGAACTTGTAATTACTGACCCCACCCGCTGGGAGTGCTGCCAGCAGACAGCCCTCAGAGGTGCTTCAGTGTGGAGAGCCACCTCCCCAGAGGTTACAGTCGCTTCTGGGGCAGTCTACATCCAATGACTGATTAACCCAGGGCTGTAAAAAGATTCGGCCATCCGGACCTAACTTGGGACAACGTAGGTGTGCTTTTTCACTCTGCCAGTCCTGCTTCTGACCTTGCCGACTTCCATGGGTGTTAATCCCAAAGCACTCCCTAAAAACATCCTGTGTGCTCAACACCTTCCGAGTCTACTTCTCTGGGGACTTAGCCTGTGACAAAATTATGTTATAGTCAGCTCTTTATGAGTTTACAAGTCTTTGTTAACCTGAAAGCTTCTTGAGGGCAAGGAAACCCATTTTATTCATTCCTAAATCACCACGGCTTGGCCTGACATTAGGTGCAGAAAAGATACTCTTTATTATATGTTCAATAAAGTAGGAATATACTTGTGAACATCTAGATAATAATAATATTGGTTAACACTTACATATGCTTCATTGGTAAAGAATCTGTCCACAATGCAGGAGACCTAGGAGATGTGTGTTCGATTCGGGTCAGGAAGATTCCCTGGAGAAGGAAATGGCAACCCACTCCAATATTCTTGCCTGAAAAATCCCATGACACAGGAGCTTGACAGGCTACAGTTCATGGGGTTGCAGAGTCAGGCACGACTGAGTGCTCACACACGCACAGTACCTATATAGTATTTACAATTTGCCACATACTATTTTAAGGGCTTTGAACATATCAACTCAACTGGCACAATAGTCCTAGGAAGGTGTTCTTGTTGTTATTGTTTCTGTTATGTAGATGAATAAAGGGATGCTCCTAACAGTTACAAGTTCTTCCCAAGGCTGTGGGTCAGGTGGTGGCTTTGTGTGTTGCTTGCTGGGAATCTGTCTCTGAAGGAAGCTCTCTAAACTGCTACTCCTTACTACTTCTATTATTATCACCATGCCTGGGCTTAGTCATGTGTGACTCTTTGTGACCCTATGGACTATAGCCGACCAGGCTCCTCTGTCCATGCGGATTCTCCAGGCAAGAATACTGGAGTGGGTTGCCATGCCCTTCTCCAGGGCATCTTCCCAACCCAGGGATTGAACACAGGTCTTCTGCAGGGCAGGTGGATTCTTCACCATCTGGGTCATCGGGGAAGCCCATCACTATGTCTACTGACCTCTTATCTACCAACTTGTCAGAAAGAGATTGAAAAGTGCCGGGTAGGAGCTGGGAGAGAGAGGGATGGTCCTTCCACTCCAGGCAGCCTGGCATCACCCCAGACCATTTCCAGTGATGCCAGGTCTGCTCTGCATGCCAAGATTGCAGCATCGACCCATTCAGGGCGGAGGGCTCCAAAGCCCCCACGTGATTTTGGTGCCCCCGAGGCTCAGGAAGTGCTGATGCAGATGGCCATTTCAGGCACACAGAAGACACTTCTAAACATGCCAAATGGAGGCCCAGGGATGGGCAGTGATCTGGCAGTAGCCACGGTGGCAGGGAGAGGGAAGCAGCCAAGATGCTTGTGTTTCAGGGTCCCAGCCCAGGATTGTCTGCACTGTGCCTCTTGAGGCTGGGCCAGGAATCTGCCCAGGGCCCGGGGAACCACATACCTCACGTGTGCATCTAATGATTACTCAGGAAGTGCAGGCTTTGGGGCTGACAAACCCGAGGCACCGGAAAGGGGAGGGGAGAGCCCGCCAGGAGGGGGTCAGCAGAGCCAGCTCCCTCAAAGCATTGTCCTTTCCTTCCTCCCACAGGATGCCAGGAGCCCTGCAGAAAAGGGACTCATTTGTCTTCCTTCCCAGCAGTCACTTGCCGCTGGCCTTTCTCTTGGGCTTGCTCAGAGCAACAGGATACAGTCTCTGCCAGGAGAGAAGGAAGGAAAGAGGGAGGGAGGGAGGAGAGGAAAGTCACTGAAGCTCAGGCTCTCCAAGCTCCCAACGTAGACCCTGGACCCTGAAAAGACCCAGGGGCATCTGGGTCCAACAGGGCCTGAGAAGAGAAACCATTTCTATTCACAGGCTGCAGGCAATCCTTTATCAGATATAGGCTGAGTAATGGTTAAAAGCTCAGCTGTCTTTCTGGGTGGCCCCTTTAAAACTTGCATCTTAATCTAGTCGTCTTTGCACACTTAAAGAAGGAAAATAAATAGGAGTCTTATCAGAACAGGTCTTCTTTCCTTTTTCCTTTGGTATTAAAAAGAAGAATGCATGATTTGGAGATTTCTCTTAAGCTCTTTTTTGTAGTTGAGATGTTTTTGGTGTCACCCCAGACCTACAACATCAGAAACTCTGTGTGTGTGGGGGGGGGGGGGCGGAGGGTTGGGGGGGGTGGGCAGTGGGGGAGGGACATGGCAGGAACTTAGCTGTGGCAGAGACAGAGGGTAGTGTGGGTTGAGGAATTGGAATCGATACTGCAATCTGCCGCTGTGTGTGCCTTCTCAGTCATCAGTTGTATCTGAATCTTTGTGACCCTTTGGACTCTAGCCCTCCAGGCTCATCTGTTCATGGGATTCTCCAGGCAAGAATACTGGAGTGGGTTGCCATTTTCTCCCCCATGGGATCTTTCCAAACCAGGGATCAAACCTGTATTTGTAAGCAAATTCTTTACCTCTTGAGCCACCTGGGAAGCCTAATCTACCACCGTAGGGATTACCAAAACAATGAACAAATCAACACATTTTAACAAATGTTTATTGAAATTTAAGTACATTTCAAAGGCAGCTAGGGATATGTTGCTGTTTAGTCACTAAGTCCTGTCTTTTTTTGTGACCCCATGCACTGTAGCCCACCAGGCTCCTCTGTCCATGGGATTTCCCAGGTAAGAATAGTGGAGTGGGTTGCCATTTCCTCCTCCAGGGGATCTTCCCCACCCAGGAACTGAACCTGCATCTCTTGAATTGGCAGGTGAATTCTTAACCAATGAGCCACCAGGAAGCTTCATACACAGCTCTCCCAGAAGCTCACAGTTCAGTAGGTGGCTCAGACAGGAAATAAATACCCTAGAGTGTTAGAATGACTCACAGGACAAGTCAGTTGGCTGGGAGTCTGAGGGACCCTGGTGAAGCACTAAGCTTTGCCCTAAGCACTAAGCCTGTGGGACAGATGAGCAGCTGGACATGAGTGCTGGGTCAGCAATCCTCCCCAGATATGGCTGCTGAAGGAAGTTGCACTCATCTCAGATTAACATTCTAGTCTTGCCTCTAACACTCTTCTGAGGTACAGAACAAACAAATCATCACCGTCGTTTAAAACATGGGCCCTTCATGTGAACTCTGCTTCCTGTCAAGGAAATCACATTCTTAATTTTTTAAAACTAAATTTATTTGGATTTCAGTTCAGACATATTTTAGTGATTAAACTTGTTTTTCTCTCTCTCTCTCTCCAGTGTTTCCAATCTATTCAGCTATGCAGAGAAAAGATGGGGAAGAGGACATTTCTCTGGTGGTTCCCAGGTACAAATCAGAAAGTAACAAGGTTCCTGGCCTTCCCTATGGAACTCCCAACCTGGCCCAAGCTCAGAGCTGAAAGTAGCTGACTGGGCTACATCTAGATGGACTAACCTGAGCCCAGGGGTCATTGTCTTTCTTCTGCTCAGAGTTGCTTTTGGAGGAGCCTTCCCAAAAAGAGGTAAGAAAAAAGGAAGGGTGAGAAAGAGGGAGAGAGGGTAGGAGGAAACCATTATTTGTTAAGTATGTACTTGGTCAGGCACTTTACACACGATTTCTCTTATACCATCTCTATTCCCATGAATTGCAATCTCTTTGTCACCAGGGGCTGAAAAGGAAAAGTTAAAATTTTACATAACCTCCTTTTCCTTCTGCCTCTGTAACTTAGCTTGCCCCTTGCAAAGTCTAGATCATGTAGGTCACGTAGTCTCAGAAAGTGGGGACTTGCAATACTAGGAACTGGAGTTTATCTCACTCACCCTCGTCCTGCTCTTTGCAATCGCCCAGCCCCTGCAAACCTGCTTAATCATGCCTGTCCAGGTCAGGCATCCCCCTCCCCATCTTGACCATTGTTCCCATGCACACGAAACCCCTTAGTTTAAACCAGCCTATTAACAGCTAGTGTTGCCCACTACAGTCTTTCTATAAAAACTCTGTAATCCCTTTATTCAGGGCTCAGAGCTTGGAGTGTTAACTTCTCTGGGCCCGCTGGCATAATAAACCTGAGTTCTCCAACTCTCCGAGTGTGGAGCGTGGTTTCTCAAGTACTGGTTTCTGCAAAAGGGCAAGGGTGAAAATGGAGGCTGAGAGAGGTGGATGACGGCTATTCGCAATAGGTCACGTTGCTGGTCAGAAGCAGAATTGGAACCCTTCTCCAAATCAACCTCATTCCAAAGCAGCATTCCCAGTGCCCCTCCCCTTCTCCTGGTTGGTTGTGTACCGTTTGACAAAAATGTTATCCGATTGGCTATTGGATGAAGCTCACTGAGCAGGAGCCCCTCAGATCTCCGCTCATGAGGATGTCCTCTTTCAAGTAAAAAAAGAAACCCTTTCTCAGAGCTTTTGTAATTCTTTTATAACTTGTAATGTCTCCTCCTCTCTGTAGGTATCTAGTAAGTGTTTCTTTTTTTTTTATTGCTTATTTTATTTTATTTTATTTATTTTTTTTATTAGTTGGAGGCTAATTACTTTACAATATTGTAGTGGGTTTTGTCATACATTGACATGAATCAGCCATGGATTTACATGTGTTCCCCATCCTGATCCCCGCTCCCACCTCCCTCTCCGCCCGATCTCTCTGGTTCTTCCCAGTGCACCAGGTCTGAGCATTTGTCTCATGCATCCAACCTGGGCTGGTGATCTGTTTCACCCTAGATAATACACATGTTTCGATGCTGTTCTCTTGAAACATCCCACCCTCGCCTTCTCCCACAGAGTCCAAAAGTCTGTTTTATACATCTGTGTCTCTTTTTCTGTTTTGCATATAGGGTTATCGTTACCATCTTTCTAAATTCCATATGTATGTGTTAGTATACTGTAATGGTCTTTATCTTTCTGGCTTACTTCACTCTGTATAATGAGCTCCAGTTTCATCCATCTCATTAGAACTGATTCAAATGAATTCTTTTTAATGGCTGAGTAATATTCCATGGTGTATATGTACCACAGCTTCCTTATCCATTCGTCTGCTGATGGGCATCTAGGTTGCTTCCATGTCCTGCCTATTATAAACAGTGCTGCGATGAACATTGGGGTGCACGTGTCTCTTTCAGATCTGGTTTCCTCAGTGTGTATGCCCAGAAGTGGGATTGCTGGGTCATATGGCAGTTCTATTTCCGGTTTTTAAAGAAATCTCCACACTGTTTTCCATAGTGGCTGTACTAATTTGCATTCCCACCAACAGTGTAAGAGGGTTCCCTTTTCTCCACACCCTCTCCAGCATTTATTGCTTGTAGACTTTTGGATAGCAGCCATCCTGACTGGCGTGTAATGGTACCTCATTGTGGTTTTGATTTGCATTTCTCTGATAATGAGTGATGTTGAGCATCTTTTCATGTGTTTTTTAGCCATCTGTATGTCTTCCTTGGAGAAATGTCTGCTTAGTTCTTTGGCCCATTTTTTGATTGCGTAATTTATTTTTCTGGAGTTGAGCTGGAGGAGTTGCTTGTATATTTTTGAGATTAATCCTTTGTCTGTTGCTTCATTGGCTATTATTTTCTCCCAATCTGAGGGCTGTCTTTTCACCTTGCTTATAGTTTCCACATTAACAAATTGAAAGATAAAAACCTTTTGATTATCTCAATAGACACAGAAAAAGCCCTTGACAAAATTCAACATCCATTTATGATTAAAACTCTCCAGAAAGCAGGAATAGAAGGAACAGACCTCAATATAATAAAAGCTATATATGACAAACCCACAGCAAGCATCACCCTCAATGGTGAAAAATTGAAAGCATTTCCCCTAAAATCAGGAACAAGACAAGGGTGCCCACTCTCACCACTCCTATTCAACATAGTTTTGGAAGTGTTGGCCACAGCAATCAGGGCAGAAAAAGAAGTAAAAGGAATCCAGATAGGAAAAGAAGAAGTGAAACTCTCTCTGTTTGCAGATGACATGATCCTCTACATAGAAAACCCTAAAGACTCTATCAGAAAATTACTAGAGCTAATCAATGAATATAGTAAAGTTGCAGGATATAAAATTAACACACAGAAATCTCTTGCATTCTTATACACTAACAATGAGAAAACAGAAAGAGAAATTAAGGAAACAATACCATTCACCACTGCAACAAAAAGAATAAAATACTTAGGAGTATATCTACCTAAAGAAACAAAAGACCTATACATAGAAAACTATAAAACACTGATGAAAGAAATCAAAGAGGACACAAACAGATGGAGAAATATACCGTGTTCATGGATTGGAAGAATCAATATTGTCAAAATGGCTATACTACCCAAAACAATCTATAGATTCAATGCAATCCCTATCAAGCTACCAACGGTATTTTTCACAGAACTAGAACAAATAATTTCACAATTTGTATGGAAATACAAAAAGCCTCGAATAGCCAAAGTAATCTTGAGAAAGAAGAATGGAACTGGAGGAATCAACCTGCCTGACTTCAGGCTCTACTACAAAGCCACAGTCATCAAGACAGTATGGTATTGGCACAAAGACAGAAATATAGATCAATGGAACAGAATAGAAAGCCCAGAGATAAATCCACGAACCTATGGTCACCTTATCTTCGACAAAGGAGGCAAGGATATACAATGGAAAAAAGACAACCTCTTTAACAAGTGGTGTTGGGAAAACTGGTCAACCACTTGTAAAAGAATGAAACTAGAACACTTTCTAACACCATACACAAAAATAAACTCAAAATGGGTTAAAGATCTAAATGTAAGACCAGAAACTATAAAACTCCTAGAAGAGAACATAGGCAAAACACTCTCCGACATAAATCACAGCAGGATCCTCTATGACCCACATCCCAGAATATTAGAAACAAAAGCAAAAATAAACAAATGGGACCTAATGAGACTTAAAAGCTTTTGCACAACAAAGGAAACTATAAGCAAGGTGAATAGTAAGTGTTTCTTGATAATGGAAGGAAGGGAGGAAGTTTTGTTTTTTAAGAGAGGCCGGGTTTTGCTGCCCAAAGTGTGGTCCCTGAACCAGCAACATTAGAATCACCTGGAAGTTTGTTAGATGTGCAGAATTGTGAGCACAGACCTCCAGAATAAGTGAGCTAATGCTTACTTCAGTCCTGGTACCCAGCGTGTGTGTGTGTGTGTGTGTGTGTGTGTGTGTGTGCGCTCAGTTGCTTATTCATGTCCCCTCTTTACAACCCCATGGACTGTAGTCTGCCAGGCTCCTCTGTCCATGGGATTTTCCAGGCAAGAATACTAGAGTGGGTTGCCATTTCCTTCTCCAAGGGATCTTACTGACCCAGGGACTGAACTCGAGTCTTTTGCATCTCCTGCATTGGTAGGTGGATTCTTTAACGCTAGCACCATCTGGGAAGCCCAGTACCTAGTATAGCACCTGTAAATGGTACTTCCTTTCTGTTCCCATCTTCCCCTCTCCTTTTTTAGCTTTTAATTTTTCACTAAAGTGTAGTTGATTTTCCGTTTTACAGGTATAGAGTAAAATGTTTCATTATTTACATATACACATCTATTCTTTTTCAATACAGGTTATTATTATAAGATATTGAATATAATTCCCTGTGCTGTATAGTAGGTCTTTGTTGTTTATTTTAAATATAGTAGTCCTTCTATTAAAAAAAATTTTTTTTCACCTTTTAAGAGTGAGCCCACTATAGAATCTGTTCTCAGAGAAAGAAAATGCCTCTGAAATACTAATCATATCTGTTAGAACTGTACTACACAGTAGCCACTTGCCATATGTGGCTATTAAGTTAAAAATTCACTTTCTCAGTCACACTAGCCATATATAGCTAGTGACTACCACATTGGATAGTACAGATTTAGAGCATTTCCCCCATCATGGAAGGTTCTATTGGACATTTCTCCTGAGTTTTTGCTAACCCACAGCCCAGTTGCTCACACAGTAAGAGGTCAAAAAAATGCTCATAAACTTAAATTTCACAGCTTCACTCATTGGAAGAAAAAAGTGGCAGGAGAGTCCCAAGATTTGTTTTCCACTTCCTGCTCTGTCTACTAAGGAGCCACATGACTTGGGAAAGTCATTTCCCCTCTCCCTTGCTTTGTTCATCTACGCACTTAAAGAGGAAGAGGTAATAAGAGTGCTTCAAGTAAGTCTGGAAGCTTTTGTGCTTTTATCTCTGACAGTTTGGCCAAGCTTCTAGCCTGAGGATATGACCAACTCATCTTGGTTTGACTGGGACTGTCCCAGCCTTAAAACTGGATGTCCCAAGTCACAAGAGCTCCCGCATTCTCAGGCAAATAAAGATGTCTCAGTTATAAAATTCTATGACCCTGTGCAAGCCTGAGAGTAGGGTGCCAGGAACC